CATACGTATTTATCAGTAAAGATGTCATTACTGGACCCAGCACAGTGCCCTAGCAGCTAAAGTCCTCGCCTTGAACATGCCGGGATCCCCTCCTAATCCAGGCAGCCCTGCCTTCCATCCAGCTCCCTGCTGGTAGTCTGGGAAAGCAATAGAGAAAACCCAAAGTCTTAGAACCCTGCACCAGCGTGGGAGACCCGATAGAGGCTCCAGGTTTCTGGCTTCAGATCGGCTCATCTCTGGCCATTGTGGAAAACTTGAGGAGTGAATCACTGGATGGAGAATCTTCCTGTAATCTCCTCCTCTCTGTATATCTTTAAAAAATAAAACATGATGTTACTAATATTAATATAACTATTCTTCAAATCTAACTGAATCATAACCAAAGCTTAAAGGAAGTGGTCTCCACCCGTAGGAAGGAAGCGCCTTCCTTGGAGTCGTGAGGCACGGGAGTGCAGAGATCAGAGAGGTGCCGTCCTGGAGTCTCCATCTCTGACAGCTCTGCTCCTTCCTATGTCTCTTAGTGCTTTTCTTCTCCCAAAGCAAAGGAAGATTCAAGATTAAACAGATTACTCCAGTTCAGTTCTTACTTCCCCATCATCTCCAGAGATTATTTTAATCATTTATTCTGACGGTCAAGAAGACGTTTTTATATGACTGCCACTTATCTTAAAGCCTATTTGGGGTGCTAGACTGAGACAACGCTATTTACTGGTATTAAATGTGTGTAAATCAAAACGCCATCCACCTGGAACATCGGTGTGTATTTGCTGAATCACACGTGCATTCCTGCAGGTGGCTACCAGGGACCTCATCACAGCAAACCCAAACACTTGGCTTTCATCATTTTCTAAACCACATGTTTTCTTGTCAAGAGCTACAAACCTTCTGCCTTCCCTGTCAGTCCCTTAATGAGAAAGTAACAGTGGTTCCCTGCTAGAAAACAGCTAAAATATACTCTACCAGTAAGGGTCCGCAACACCAAGATGATGAATACATGCAGGGAGTAAATTGTTACATCTATTAAGACAATAACTATATGATACACAGTTTTAGACAAGATGCCTGAACATACTTAAAAAAAACCATTGCCAGGTTTGGCCAGGATACCAGAATTAAAGGTTTCCTTCTTAAACTCCCAAATTCTTCAGCTTTAATTGTCTTTATCATGGTAATAAGTTCACACTTTTTTTGAAATCATGACTTAAAGAAAAATCTTTGGTTTCTGAAAATAGTACTCTAAACACACTGTCCCACCAGGACAGAGTAATGTATAAATACAACACAGACATACAACATCCTATTGAGGCCACGCTGATGAAGATTCACAGCTCTGAATCACAAAGTATGGGGTCTCCAGAGCCCAGGCTTCTGGCAGAGCCTGGATCCTAACCCTGGAGCTGGACGTCGGGTACAGAAGTGACAGCGCCCACGGGTGTTGCAGCTGTTAGTCAGCCTACAGGAAGTGCTGCCTGACAGAGCTTCCCGATGCGTTTCAAGGCTCCATCTGCACAGTCGTATGCTCTTGGATGTGACCCAGGGAGATGCCACAGGAAGCACATGCAGAGGAGAAAAAGCAGAAGCTCTGGACGGATCACCAGCCTAAAGTCACAGCAAAGAAAGTGATTATTTTATGGAGAACTTTTTAAAAAGACTTATTTATTTGAAAGGCAGAGGTATGGGGTGAGGAACAGATAGAGAAAGATATTCCATCTACTAGTCCACTTTCCAAGAGCTTGCAACAGTGGGAGCTGGGCCGGGCCAAAGCCAGGATACTCCATCTGGGTCTTCGATGCAGACTGCAGGGGCTCAGGCACCTGACCCATCATCTGCTGCCTCCAGGAGCAACAGCATGACATTGTATCAGAAGAGGAGCCAGGACTGCAACTGGCAAGCCAAAGTCCCAAGCAAAGTTCAACCCTCTAGGCCAAGATACGCATCCCATGAGTGACTTCTAATGTCCTGATGGCCTAAGAAACAACTATCAGGGATCTCCAAGCAAGGCCTTAGGAAACAATTCTTATCTCTAGCCAGGACATTCATCCTTGCAGGGTCTCTGCATGACATAGAAGAGTACACTGGTGGCACAGCTTATCTAAAAATCCACAAATAACTGTCACCAAGTCAACCACTGACCTAAGCTCTAACAGAAAATGCATTCCGGAACACCACACAGAAATGGGTACAACAGCACTCTGAAAGCTAAATTTTCCCTGCTCAGGTTTAGAGAACACACAATGTGAAACGAGCTCTTATTGAAGTCAGCTTTCTCCTAGGACAAGCTTCAGGCACAGCAGATTAAGTCGCTGCCTGGGACCTTGAGATCCCATATGGGACTGCCAGTTAGAGTCCTAGCTATTCTGCTTCTGATCCAGCCCCTGCTGATGTGCCTGGGAAGCAGCAGATGATGATTCAAGTACTTAAGTCCTGCTACCCATGCAGAAAATCCAGACGGAGCTCCTGGCTTCAGCCTGCCCCAGCTCTGGCTTGGAGAGTGAACTAACAAATGAAAAATCTCTGCCACTCTGCCTTTAAAACGAATATTAAAAAAAAAAAAACACACACATATTAGTTACTGAAGAATTTAGCTATTTAGTAGACTGGGAGGGCTCCCATGTGCTGGGTCATTTCCCAAATACACACAACAGCCAGGGCTGGGCAGGGTCTGGGCCAAGCTGGAGCTGGGAGCTAGGAAGCCAATCCAGGTCTCTAACGTGGGTGTAATGATACAAGCACCTCAGCAATCGCCTGCTGCTCGCAGGGTACATATTAGCAGGAAGCTGGAATTAGGATTGGAGCCAGGACTAGAAGCCAGGCACTCTGACACTGAACAGAATCTATCTGCCAGGCCAGCTGCCCACAACACATTTCTCTTTAACACAAAATACTGACTCCTGATAAAGAATAGCGTAATCCAGACTGTTGCTATAAAGATCTCATTGCCCAAGAACAAGTTTATTATCAGGTGCAGGTCTCATTACACAGTAAAGCATAAAGGCTGGTCTAGCAGCCCAGTCATCTACCAACAAAAAGGCCAGCTACAGTTTCCCAGCTGGCAAAGGCCATACACTGAGAGAAGTGCTGGCAAGACATATACCAAGGGCAGCAGGGATAAAGGCAAGAGGCAGGAAAGGAGCACGCAGCACAGGACATGTGTGCTGACGCCTCTCCCACTGGGAGAAGCAAGAAAGCATTACCAGTGCTGGGGCTCTCCGACAGGTGCACGGCATCTCAACCCTGCTCTTCTGCGCTTGCCATAGTGTGCAGTGAGCGGGGTCTAGCAGAAGCTATAGCCTTAAAAACAAATTGCTCTCCCACTACCACCCCACACCTTATCAAAAAAAAAAAAAAAGAACACCCACAATTTCCTTATCTTCTGTTACAAAATACTTCCAGGGGTTTACAACAAAGCATAGCTTCTACATAGCATTATCTCATGGCCAGAAAACAAAACTGCCAACTAGGAGGATTTGAAAAATGTGACCACTTGGGGCTTATTTTGGGGCTGAACCACTCCCCTTCCCTAATTATCCCTCAAAAGAAATATATCAGACGCTGTGGGCAGAGGGAAACATGTCTAATTACAACATGTGCATTTGGTGGATGAAGAATTCCAACATTCTTGAACTCTAGCCACATTTCAGAAGACTTTCCACTTGTTAGGTTTAATCTCCCTGAAGAGGAAAGGTTAAGGTCAGTTGCACTTCAACTAGAGCACTATAAAAAAAAAAAAAAAAAAAAGACAAAGAGAAACTGACCACATTACTTACAGGTCATATAAGGGAAGCCTGCTGAAATTTTAAAATGACCCGTGTCCATATTAAGTGCTAACAGAGGAAGTGGTTTTGATTTGAAAATTAGGGCTAAAAATAAGATCCATTTCAAGAGTACTCCCCAAGGCAGTCAACATGCACCCAGTTGGATTTTGAAGATACACTTGCAAAGCTGCCCTCCACCGGAAGGGGAGTCAAACAGAAGCAATGTCTGATGGAGACCTCTCACCCACAGCAGTGGGAAGGCCTCCGGGATAGAGTGACCAGGGGAGGGCTTCCCCAGGTAGCTGTTTGCCGCGCGGGAGAGAGCGAGCAAACCTACCAGGAGCATGGACCGAGGGCGTGTGCAGCAACGCGGCTCAAACAGTGCTCAGCATGGCCTGGCCGTTCTGCTCTGGCTGGCCTCCCTCCCTCGGACTCACACCCACCCGGCCTCTGCCCAGCTGGCCTCCCCGATGCTCCCGCAGGTTCCCAGGCACACCTGCCAACTCCAGCAACTTCCCAAGGGCTATCCGGGTCCCTAGACCCCTACTTCCCAAATCCTGGCTCACCATCATTCCTGAGAGAATGGCACCACTGGTTTTTCTTCCCCATGCACAGTAAAACGCGCTTCTACCCTATGGCTGGCTAGAGCTTCCTGCGGGCTTTTCCTCCCCACCCCGCCTGGGAACTCCAGCCGAGCAAGGATGGTGGTTGGGTTCGCCAGTGTATGTATCCCGAGTGTTCAGATGAGGGCCTGGCACCCCAGGGAGGAGCTCAGAAAGTACCCTCTGATTGAATGAATGAACTTCTTGCCCTCAGGACTCCAGAACCACAGCAAGACGGGGTGGACAGGGAGATGGTGACAGACGACAAGAGACCACGAGAAGCAGCCTAAGTGGCATCCAGCTGGGCGGGCGGGTGCTCCTCTGGACTCACTGGGCAAGTCCAAGGCCAGGACAGATCCACCTGCGCTGCAGTTCACCGCACCCAACCGCACTTGTACCCCCATGTCGGGGACCCGCCAGCACCCTCCCAGCGAAGGCCCCTCACCCGGCCCCTGACGGGCCGGGCCCGACCCCGGGGCACCTGCCTGCCCGCCGGAAGGCCCCAGCGCGCCGCCGAGGCCGCACCCCGCAGGGCTCCCCCAGCTCCAGTCCCTGAGCAGGAAACGCCCCGCGGCCCTCCCCGAGGCGGGGCAGGGGGCTCCCCGAGGCGCCCCTCACCCCAGCCCGCGCCGCGCCTCCTCACCTCAGGGCGCACGTACGACACGAAGGACGGCTTGGGCGCCCTGGTGCCGCCGCCCCCGCCGACTCCCCCCTTCCCCAGCATCCCGCCACCCGGGGAAGCAGCGACGCGCGGGAACAGACGCGACGGCTCGGCCAGCGGCGGCGGAGGCCACCAGCACCAGCGACTGGGGCTCCGCCCATCCCCAGGGCCGCCGCAGCGGCGACGCCGCCCGCATCCGGCTCGGCCGCCGGCCGCGCTCGCCCCGCCCACGGCGTACGCACGCCCCCCCAGGCCGCGAGCCACGCCCGCAGGCCACGCCCCTCGCCTCTCGGCCGGCGGTTGGCCTCGTCGGGCGGATGCGCGCCGCTCGGCTTCAGCAAAACCCGCCTCCCACCTCCTCTGATTGGCCGAAAGTGCCTCCGGTCGAGCCCCTTCTTGAAAGGCCCTCGAGAGATGTTTCTGCCAACCAATCCAGAAGAGCCTTCTCTCCGGACTTCCCGTCGATTGGATAGATTGCGAGGATGTCATAGTCGTCCAGCGATGGGTAAGCTGTTGGGGCCACCGAGTTCTCGGCAGTCACGATCTTACTTCTGCTGGTGGTTTAGGGAGAAGCCACACGTCCAGAAATGAGATGTGTCCAGTTTCTCCGCCTGAGTTCCAAACCTACCTCATTGACATTCAAGGTTTACAATTTTAAATGTGAGACGGACCGAGTGCCCACGAGCACTGAGGGACAGATTGGAGCGATCCAGAAAGGCGCTGTCAAGGGCATGTTTTATTTCAAACACTTGTTTGCGTCTCTAATTGAATATCAAAGCTCCTCTGCTAGTTCGCAAAATCTTCCCTTTCCATCATATCTACATTTGGACGCCAAACACCGAGACAGTGGAGCAGAGGGGGGCCTGATCAATATTGGCAGGCAGCTTTTCGGGCGTCAGGCAGCAGGCTGCCGCTTCCATGCATGCGAGCCCTTCCCAAATCCTCAAGTCCAATTCAAGGTAGCCAACAACGCTCAGCGAAAGGGACCATGCTGGCATTTGTAAACAAGGGTGAAGTCAGGCGCTTGAGCTGGGTGTCTGCCCTGGAGCCCACCCTTGAATTGTCGGCTTCAGGTGAGCAAACCCGAGCTGTAGGCCATTGGTCCAGGCCGCCCAAGTTGTTTACTGACAGCCCAGGTCTGTCTTGATTCCAAAGTCTACATTCCTAACATACTAAAAAAAAAAAAAAAAAAAAAAAAGCTAACATCTTGAAGATCCCAGTTAGGAGGCAGCAGCAGAATACTGGTCAATTCTGCTTGAGAAAGTCAAGATCTCCTGTAGCGATGTGAATAATGTGTTTGTAAAAACTGATAACAATGCCACTTTACATTTCACAGACATTTGTAACTTTCTGAGTGGAATGGCAGAGCAGATTCTTACAGTCTGAGTAAATGATTAATTTACTTATTTATTTAGGATTTGCTTTTAATCTTTTTGAGAAGCAGAGCACCAAAGAGAAGGTGGGATCTTCCACCTACTGGCTCATTCCCCAAATGGCTACAATGCCTCGGACTGGGATAGACCAGGCAGCAACCCAGAGCCAGGATGTATCTTCCTCAGGTAGATAAATCCATAAATCTTAATTCTTTTTAATAACTAGGTAAAGGCTCTCCACTCAGCAAGCACGGTACTGCCTGTTTCATGGGTTGTAGACAAAGAAGCAAAGCAAACACTCCCTGTTAACTTTGGGACAGTTTTAAACAAAGAGGTTTTGTTTTTGTTTTACATGGACCCCATCCTTTGACACAAAATCATGACTTTTGATTTCTAATTCATCATATCACATTTTCCTCCTTAAGGCCATGCTGCACTAAGCAATTACTCGACCCCAACTTCAAACCTGGCACTCCTACCGCATGCAGATTCTTCCAAAACACTGCAATGAACAAATGAGGAAGACTTGCAGGCAGTCGTGGTCTGAGTGTGTCTCCTACCACTACACCTGCACCCCCATTCGTACACTGGAACTTCATCACTAATGTCCAGGTGTTAAAGAGGTGGAGCTGGGGCCAGCGCCATGATGTAATAGGCTAACCTGTGATGCTGCCATCCCTGCTTATGGCCTCGGAGAGGCAGCAGCAGAGGACGGTTTAATCCTTGGGCCACCACCAGGCTCCTGGCTTTGGCCTGGCTCAGCCCTGCCTGTTGTAGCCGTTTGGTGAACAAAGCAGCTGGTGGAAAATCCAGTTCTCACTCTCCCTGTAATTTTGCCTTTCAAATAAATAAATAAAGCTATCTTTTAAAAAATGTACTTTTTAAGATTTGTTTTTTTTTTTTTTTTTACTGGAAAGTCAGATTTACAGAGAGAAGAAGAAACAGAGAAAGATCTTCCATTCACTGGTTTACTCCCCAAGTAGCTACAATGGCCTGAGCTGAGCTGATCAGAGGCCAGGAGCTTCTTCTGGGTCTCTCATGTGGATGCAGGGTCCCAAGACCTTGGGCCGTCCTCGACTGCTTTCAGGCCACAAGCAGGGAACTGGATAGGGAGTGAAGCAGCAGGGTTAGGAACAGGTGCCCATTTCTTCACAGACTCGTGGGAGGAGCTTGAACAGGGACGCCACACCCTCTACAGGTCAATTCTAAAAGTACAGTGAGAAAAGAATCTGCACTTTTCCCATTCAGCTATGCTTCCCTACCCTGTATCAGCAGACCTTCCCGGGCACATTACTGGGTTTGTAACCACCAGAAGTATGGAACTAAAATCTGGCTTGGACCAGCTGCTGGGCTACCCCTAGAGGTGACAGAACTTCATACTCCCAAAGGTAGGGGGAAAATGTTTTTCATCAAGGTTTAATATTCCTATGATGTAGCTGTAGCTGGAGCCTGGGTCTGCTGCACAAACACTGTAGTGTTGATCTTTACAAGATGGTCCTGTGAACAGAGACCCAATGAACACAATCTCTTTTCAGAGGCTGTAGGGTCAAACAGCTTTGGGCCTTGGAGAATGCATCAAAGATGACCTTGGCAAATTGTCCAGAGTGGCAGGGCAGCCCCTGGTGGAGGTGTAGCCATCGTCCATTCCATGTCATCCATCAGCAGTGGCCTACTGGGGACGGGAGCTGAGATGATGCCAGTGCCATAAACACAGCATCCCAGTGTCTAGTCGCCTTGCATGGCACTGTGTGGCGTTGGCCGATCTTGTTCCTCCCTGACTAGCCTCTCTGTACCACCATCAATGGAGAGCTGGGCCAGAGTGGCAGCCCCTAATCTGGGAACCCTGGACACCCAGGCTGACATGGCCATCATGATCCCCCAGACCGTGAACCTGGTCTGTTGGCCTATGTACATCTACTTTTGTACCAGCATGATCTTCAAAATCCCACACTTGGGGAGGTCCCTCTCCCTTCCCCGGGCAGTCAGTGGCCTCCACTTCCTGACAGGCAGGGGGACAGGTGTCCAGGCACTTGAGCATCATGTCCTTGACCAGTGGTCCAGCTTGCTGACAGAGCATTACTCCCTGTCCTCGGTCCTGCCACCCTGGGCTATAGGGCCTCAGCTCCAGCCTCAACACTGGCTGTGCGCAGGGCCCTAGTGCCCTATGATATTCTCTGGAAAAACCAAAAAACTCTCTTGAATTGGGGGTTCACGGGGCCTTGAAAAAAAAAAAAAAAACAACTCTCCGTGGTCACACAGTTGACCAATGCCTCCTGGCAGTTACATCTTTAACACCGTGTGATCTCCTTTTTAAAACGACTTATTTATCTGAAAAGCAGAGACAGCTTGTGCTTCCACCAGAGGCTGCTACAGCCCGTGCTGACCTAGGCTAAATCTAACAGGAGTTCCATCTGGGTCTCCCACGTGACTGGCAGCAACCCCAGGACTTAAACCATCACCTGCTGCCACCCAAGGCTTATATTAGCAGGGAGCTGAACTTGAACCACGAGAGTCTGATAAGGGATGTTGGCATCCCAAGCAACAACTTCTTTGTGCACTGTCACTGGGCCCTAACACCATGTAGCCCTTAGACCCAGGGGTCTGCAGGGGTTTGTGGGCTTCATCTTTGTTAATGCAGGCCTGGTAAGCCCAGTCCAGTTCATCTCAAGCTGCTCCTATGCTTCCTTGCCCCAGCGCTGAGATGAAAGCTCTGGAAGGATGGAAAGCCCCTTCCTGCAGGGGCCAGTGGGTGGAGCCGCCTGTTCCCCGCGCCCCCCCCGCCCCCCCTCAACTCCAGTCCCAGGGGCCCTGCTGCTGCTGTCCCTCAGCAGGGAAGCAGCTTGGTTCCAGTTCCCTGCTGCTCCTCAGGCTCTGTAATCTCCAACAGGTGCAACAGGTGTCCACCCCATCTTCCCGTGGTCTGAAGGACTGTGGATGCCAACTCCCTGGCTAGTAGAAAGGTCAGACTGTTCTTCCAGCCACTCCATGTCATGGGAGGGTGGGAAGATAAGCAGGGATGTTGCACTCCAAAATGTTCATCCTGGCTGCTCCCAGGATGAACATGTCACCCAAAGCACAGGAACCTAGAGGCTAGGTGATAGGTCATTGACACTGCTTCTCACTCTGCTTCCTCGCTAGAGCTGTGTCCAGGCTGAGAGTACCTGGTGTGTGTGTGTGCATGTGTGTGTGTGGGGGGGGGGGTGGCAGTGCAGGAAGCAGCAGCCAGAAGAATGTGTTATTTGCATTACCACCCATTTGTATTTCTCTTGACTCATTCCAGGCGAGTGAAACTCAAGGTCTGGGGGGCTGATTCAGGGATGGTAGTCCCCAGGAGGCAGGGATGGACAAAGATCATCTCACCACTTTCAGACTGACACACATGAGTGCCTCACATGTCATCCGGTCATGTGAAGGCTGTGTAACCCCAAATCAAAGGGATCTTGGATTTCACTGGGAACAAAGTATTCCGTTTAGAACTTGGAACTGCTGGGACAGCCGAGCTGGGCAGTAAAAAGTGAGGGACCAGGCCCCTAGACTTTTTTCTGAGCTGAAGGTGGATGGTCCAAGTGCTATCTGACGGCTTTGGTGATCTGGAAGTTTTGTGTGGGAACACAGGATCCTCTGTCCATAGCTAAGGGCCACTGCTGCTTGTAGCCCAGTGAACTTAAAAAGGACCTGGTGACTGGTGCAGTGAGTGGATCAACAGGCAAGTCCTCTACCTCCAAGTGCTGGCTTCTCAAATGGGCACCGGTTCATGTCCCAGCTATTCTACTTCCTGTCCAGCTTTCTGTGGCCTAGGAAAGCAGCAGAGGATGGTCCAGGTCCTTGGCATCCGCACCCATGTGGATGACAAGGATTCCCTTGGCTCTTTGGCTTTGGATCATCTCCACTCTGGCTCTTTTGAGCACTTGGGGAGTGAATCAGTGAATCTCACCAATAAAAAGTAAGGACCTGAGAAACTGGAGAACCTCCTTAAGTGAAAACAGGCCAGGCATGCCTCCCTGCTGGGACAGGCCATCTTTGATCAGAGCTGGAAGGCTGGGTGGTGCCTTTCCTTTCCAAGACAAATTAAAAAAAAGTGTATGTGGCTAGACTGGAGCTGTATGGATGTGGCCTTGAATGCCAGGCTAAGGACTCTTGAGGTGTCTCCTCGGGCACTGGAAGGTTTTTACTTCTTTTTTTTTTCTTCTTAGTAGTAATTGCTTAATGCATAATCATTTCCTATTAAGTAGTAAAAATTATTTTTAAAAAATTTATTTTTATTAGAAAGGTGGATTTACACAAGGAGAGACTGAAAGATATTCCATCTGCTATTTCATTCCCCCTAATGATTGCAATGACTGGAGCTGGACTGGTCCAAAGCTGGAAGCTGGGAGCCAGGAGCCAGGATATTCTTCCAGGTTTCTCCTGTGGGTGCAGGGGCCCAAGGCCTTGGGCTATCCTCTGCTGCTTTCTTAGGCATATTAGCAGAGAGCTGGATTCAAAGTGGAGCATCTGACTCCCATGCTGGGATTCCATATGGGTGCTGGTTGTAATCCCAGCAGCTCCACTTCCCTTCAGCTCCCTGCTTGTGGCTTGGAAAAGCAGTCTAGGGCGGCCCAAAGCCTTGGGACCCTGCACCCATGTGGGAGACCCGGAAGAAGCTCCAGGTTTCTGGCTTTGAATTGGTGCAGGTCTGGAACACAGCCTCAAACCCTAATTGCAAGGTGAAGGGGGCTACATGGCAAAGGCTCAAATATGAAATTTTATGCTTGGGTTTTAATTTCAGCTCTGTCACTTAAATTATTGACATAGTTTCCTCATCTGGAAAAAAAAAAGTAGTATGGCACTCTCAGTATTGTTAGAATAAGTTTTTAAAAATATATTTATTTATTTACTTATTAATGCTGCAGCCAGGCCTCCTGTGTGAGTGGCGGGGTGAAGCACTGGGGCTTCTCTGTTGCTTCTCTCATGCCATTAGCAGGAAGCTAGAACACAAGTGCAGCAGCTGGAACTCAAATTGTTGCCCACATGGGATGACAGCACTGCAGCTGGTAATGTTACCCACTAAAGCATACAGGCCCTAGAATGGTTTTAAATTTAAAAAAAGTATCTGTCATCAGCTCAAAGTAAGCATTAGTTCCATTCCTTCCTTCTTCAGAGAAACAAAACTGAAAATTTTTCCTGGAGGATTTAATATTTGAGAATAAAATTTGATGCTAATTGAAAATAATTTTTTTTAAAGACTAAAACAGGCCTGCCAAAGTTACATAAGATACTGTCTAACAATTCTGATGAAAAGTCCAATCAGACTCCCTCAGTGCTCCACCATTTTGTAAAAGACCGACATTAGAAAGAAAAAAAAGCAATACAGTATTGAATCACACCCTTTTCTGGAATATATGTGCTCACATAATCAACATTTGTCAGGAATAACAAGATGTAGTACTCAATAAAGTTGAATACAGTTTTACTGAAGCATATGTCATTTTAAAGCAAAGTAGTTTATGATATCAATTATAATACATGTAAGTCATTATATGAATTTAACTGTTTTATTTATGTATTACACTGTAGTGCTGTGACAACAAAATGACATTTGTGTACCAGAGCATACATACATCAACAGTAAGATGTAACTTCTCCTTACACCACTGCTAGAATATTTAGCTTTTTTTAGGAGACATAGGCATGTAAGATGGCCACATCAAATAATTTTCTGGTTTTTTTCCTTAATTTTAATTTTTTTATCAATACTTTTATCAACATCAATGTTAATAGAACTATATAAGTTATCTGGGTGATGGGATGTGTGTGAACCATTCAACTGTATTATGCTGTAATTGTTACTACATTATCTCACACACCAATAAAGAACTGTCACCATAATTAAGGGCTAGTTACTGTGGTTAGTTGCACAATGATAAAGTTCTTTTGAAAATATTGGTTAGCCCACTTATGTGAAAAATGCCCTTTCCACTTATACAGAAGAAAAAATATTCAGAAAGTTATTTTTGGCCTTGCTATGTCAAAAAGTCAACTGTACAAAGATCTAAGTTGAACCTAAAATTATAATTTTAAAAGTCTATTAAAAACAAAAATGTCATGCATTTTTATTAATTATGCAGAGGCTTTAAAACTGTTGCAAGACCATATTGTATATATATATATTAGCTTTTATACTGCTAATGCACAACTAACAGCAAACTTGATTAGCATAACAGAAATCTGTCTTAATTACACTTTTATATATCACACTAGAGACAAATGCCACAAGAGCTCCAGAAACAGCCAGCTCTGAGCACTCAGATGGCAGGATAACTGTAAGTGTTGTAATCCTTCACATACAGAGAACAAAAGGGGAAAAATCTGCAGTCTCACGTTACAAAAAAACGCACTGCTGTAAGAGGCTGAGGGGGAGAGAGGATATTATTTATAACACAAAATAACTCACACCTAGTGTCAAAAAAGCAAACAAAACTTCTAAATAAAAATATCAAAATACACAAAGCAACTGAAGCACAAATCCTGCATTAAATACAGTAAAGACTGAATAAGACAACATACTAGTTAGCAAAAGACACAAAAACAGGGAGACCTAGGGCAATCGGTAAATAAAACCAAATCATAGGAAAACAATCTGACCCACCGTTTACCCGAGGAGGAGTACACGCTTTTGGAGTCTTTTCATTCATATAATACCTAACACTGTACAATAAGATTTTAATGTCATAGAAAAACTTGGTTCTTCCATGAAATTCTTCATGAGTTTTTAAAGTAGACATTATTATGAATGAAAAACAGCCAATAAATGGGCACCTGTTTTTAACACTGAAGAATTACAGAAACTTTTTAAAAGTTATCATAATCTTTTTTATCTTTTTTCCCCTCGGCTTCAAAGCCATCAACACCATCACTATCCCTTCTTCGCTTCCTGTTGTTGTGAATGTTAAAACGTTGGTTCATCTGTGGTAATGGATCCATGCCTAAGACTTTGTGTATCTGGCGGAATGCAAGGAGTCTCAAAGCAAACTGCAATCAAAAAGAAAGAAAGAAAACAGGATTTTAATTAGTTAAAAACAAAACAAAAACCCAAGTTTTCACTGGGTTGGAAGCATACTGGGTGGGTGTTAGGGCACTGCTGGTGGCATCCCAGGGCAGGTCAGGGGTTCAGTGCCAGCTCTGCTTTCGAGCCCAGCTTCCTGACTGTGCACAATATGAGAAGCAGCAATGACTCACATGGCTGGATCCCGACCACACCTGGGGCAGGTATGGATGGAGTTCCAAGCTGCTTTGGCCTGACTAGACTTAACAATTCAAAGAATTTGGTGAGGCAGTAGGTGGAAGATCTGTCTCCTGTGGAATCTACGTAGGTCTTTCATGTAAATATCTTTTTATGCTGGCAATAGCCAGGGTTGGACCAGGTTAGAACCCAGAGATGGGAACTTGACACCTGTGCCCAATCCGATGACAGGGATGTCATGTCCTGAACCATCGTCTGCTGTCCACCAGTGTGCCCATTAGCAGGGAGCTGGATTGCAAGATGCAGTGAGGACTTGAACCCCTGCACCACAACTTGAAATGTGGTGTCAACTGGTATACTGTGCCAAATGCTTAGCCCTTTGTCTACACATAAAATCCTTTCAAGTAGCTTACTAAAGAAGCAAAAGAATAAGTACTACACCATGACTTCTGAAGGAGAATCATTAACAAACAAGCCAAACCCCACAAACAGCCTGGAGGGCAGTAACTGCAGCGAGCCTTTGGGCAGGACCCTTGCGCACCTGCGCACTGGATGTGATGTCTTCACGTTGCTGCTCAGTCATGGTTGCCAAGGTGTCAAAGGGATCCTTCTCACAGGGATCGAGAAGTCCAGGGCTACCTGCAGCAGTCACCAAAGGAAGACAACGTATTGGCATTATCTGTTTGTAAAAGAAGAGCTCCAGTTCAGTTATCTAACCTGGGTAACAACAAAGGCAATGTTACCTTTAAGAATAATCCCTGAAGAAATGCACTCGAACACTCTTCGCAGTGCATCCCCAGGGCTCTGCGGGGTCGACGCGCTGCTGATCGCCTTCTCTACCAACAGCTCCATAGCCTAAACAGAAACATACAAGGGTTCAACACAAGGTTTTTCTTTTTTTAATAACGACTGTCCTTAGGGCAGATGTTGTGGCATATGGATTAAACAATTGCTCAGGATGCCCACTTTCCATATCAGAGTGCTGAGTTCAAGTACTAGTAATTTGACCTTTTAAAAAAGATTTATGGGCCCGGCGCGGTGGCGCAAGTGGTTAAGGTCCTCGCCTTGCACGCCCGGGATCCCATATGGGCGCCGGTTCTATCCCGGCAGCCTTGCTTCCCTTCCAGCTCCCTGCCTGTGGCCCGGGAAAGCAGTTGAGGACAGCCCAAAGCTTTGGGACCCTGCACCCGCGTGGGAGACCTGGAAGAGGCTCCTGGCTTCGGATTGGCATAGTATCGGCCGTTGCGCTCACTTGGGGAGTGAATCATCGGACGGAAGATCTTCCTCTCTGTCTCTCCGCCTTTCCAATGAAAAAATAATAAAAACAAATCTTAAAAAAAAAAAGATTTATTTCATTCGAAAGTCAGATTTACAGAGGAGGAATCTGTAAATGTCTGCTGGTTCATTCCCCACGTGGCCGCAATGGCCGGAGCTGTGTTGATCTGAAGCCAGGAGTCAGGAGCTTCTTCTGGAATTCCCATGTGGGTGCAGGGTCCCCAGGCTTTGGGCCGCTCTCTACTGCTTCCCCAGGCCACAAGCTGGATGGGAAGGGAAGTGGATCATCCGCAACATGAACTGCTGCCCATGTGGGATCCAGGCGCATGCAAGGTGAGGACTTTACCTACTAGGCTACTGTGCTTGTGCCCCTTCTCTCTCTCTTTTTTAAAGATTTATGCATTTTTGGGCTCAGTGTGATGGCTCAATTGGCTAATCCTCCCCTTGCAAGTGCTGTAATCCCATATGGGTGCCAGTTGATGTCCTGCCTGCTCCACTTCCCATCCAGCTTCCTGCCTGTGGCCTGAGGAAGCAGCAGGCGATATCCCAAAGCCTTGGGAATCTGCACCTGTGTGGGAGACCACGAACAAGTTCTTGGCTCCTGGGTTTGGATCAGCTCCACCTGAGGAGTGAACCAGCAGACAGAATATTTTTCTGTCTCTCCTTTTACCTGTAAACCTACGTTTTCAACAAAAATAAATCAATCTTTGGCCACAGTGGCTGGAACTCAGTTGGTCTGAAGCTGTGATGCAAGAACTTCTAGTTTCCCATGCGAGTACAGGGTACCAAGGATGTAGGCCATTCTCTGCTGTCTTCCCAGGCCACCAGCAGAGGTGCTTTCAAAGTGGAGCAGCTAGGACACAAACTGGCAACCATACAGGATGCTAGTACTAACAGGTGCTAGCCCCTGGCTATTCTACTCTCAATCAAGCTTCCTGTTAATTCACACTGGGAGGCAACTGATGATGGCAGGGAGATCTGGATGGGAATATTCCAACTGTGGTTCATTCCAAATAGCTGCGATGGCTGGGGGGAGGCCAGGCACAAGGCAGGAGCCCAGAAGTCAATCTTCATCCCCCCATGTGAGTGACAGAGACTCAGGCACCAAGTCATTCCCTGTGCCTCCCAGGTGCACAGCAGCAGGAAGCTGGAATGTGACGAGGCACTCAGGGGGTGAGGGCTTCAAAATGGCATCTTATCCACTAAGCCAAATGTCTATCCCATATGTTTTACAATACAGATAGATGATGCTAAGGCATTAGAGCAGGAAAATATTCTACAGTTAAAGACTTCCCTGTTCTCTTTGCAGTTGGTATTACCTAAATTTTCACTGAATGCATATCTGGGTTTCTGGAAAATACAAATTACGCTTTTGGACTATGAGCTAAAAGAATAAATAACAGACAAAGGTACGGATTTAGAAAGCAACACATGTGGATCTAACCTGATATATTTTTTTTAAGATTTATTTTTATTATTTATTTATTGGAAAGACGGATATACAGAGAGGAGAGACAGAGAGGAAGATCTTCCATCCGATGATTCACTCCCCAAGTGAGTGCAACGGCCGATGCTATGCCAATCCGAAGCCAGAAGCCTCTTCCAGGTCTCCCACGCGGGTGCAGGGTCCTAAAGCTTTGGGCCGTCCTCGACTGCTTTCCCAGGCCACAGGCAGGGAGCTGGAAGGGAAGCGGGGCTGCCGGGATAGAACCGGCGCCCATATGGGATCCCAGGCGTGCAAGGCGAGGACCTTAACCACTTGCGCCACCGCGCCAGGCCCTAACCTGATATGTTTTAAAGGATCTGTTACCACAAATTTTTCTAATTTATTTTCAAAAACAGAAACGATTCATGCATGATTCCCCCATGTTGAATCATCACTACTATCTGATTCCCTAATACCTTCTGTTGGGTAATGGTGTTACCTACTCCAACCAGTCATGAAAAGATTCATCCACAATGCGGCTATTATCTCAATTGGATTAAAACTACCCATAGCAACAAAAACTCAGGGAAAATAGTTTGGAACAAATGTCAATAAAAATTTTAAATCATGAAAATAAAAATCCTTTAGTAAGAATCCCTTTTTGGTAGAACACTAAAAAACTGAGATGTACTCCAAAATCATGTTTCAGACTCTTCTAAGAAACTAAGTATTTACAGACTTCTCAGAGACACGAGAGTGCATGGGAGAGAGACATTTAGAGAACACATGCGAACAGCCAGGAAAAACGACAGTTGCCAACAGACTGAATAAAATCAGAACATAATGGACTAAGTGGAAGTCACAACGAAAAATAAGTTAGAATGGTTTAGTTTATTTAGCTTAGGATATAAGCCAGTTTTTTTTTTTGGTAAGAACTTTTTAAAGATCTTCATTTACATGTTTTAGTATTTTAAAAAAAAAGAAAATTAGTTATACAGAAAACACCGTGCATCTGTATGAGCTATTATTTACTTCCAGATAAATTAGGTATTATTTTAAGATGCCGAAATCCTGGGAGGCTCTTGAAGATAACATCAGCGACACTCATTCTGATTTCTCCTTATCCTGGCATGAAGTAGTCAGCATGTAATAAAGATACAAGGAGAGGGACACAGAAAGATCTTCTATTTATTTCCCAAATGCCCACAAGACAGGGCTGGTGCAGGCCACAGGCATAATCCAGGAACTCCTGGGTCCGGCGCAGTGGCCTAGCAGCTAAAGTCCTCGTCTTGAGCGTGCCGGGATCCCATATGGGCGCTGGTTCTAATCCAGGCAGCTCCACTTCCCATCTAGCTCCCTGCTTGTGGCCTGGGAAAGCAATCTAGGACGACCCAAAGCCTTGGGACCCTGTACCCGTGTGGGATACCCAGAAGTTCCTGGATCCTGGCTTCGGATCGGCATAGCATCCTAGTGGCTAAAGTCTTCGCCTTGTATGAGCTGGGATTCCATATGGGCTCAGGTTCGTGTCCCAACTGCTCCACTTCTCTTACAGTTCCCAGCTTGTGACCTGGGAAAACAGTCAAGGATGGCCCAAAACCTTGGGACTCTGCACCTATGTGGGAGACTTGGATGAAGATCCAGGCTCCTGGCTTCGGATGGGCCGAGCTGTGGCCATTGCAGCCACTTGGAGAGCGAATCATCAAACAGAAGATCTTTGTCTCTGTCTCACTTTCTCTGTATAATTGACTTTCCAATAAAAATACACAAAATCTTATATATCAAGTGATACGCAACACAAGTAATTCAAAGCTTTTTCAAAACATGCTTTTTTTGCACAAATAAATCTTTAAACTCCCAACTTACATTACCATAATTTTAAAGATTTATTTATTTTTATTTGAAAGGCAAATTTACAGAGAAAGGGGGCAGGGGAGAGTATCTTCCATCCACTGGCTCACTCTCGAAAAGGTCACAACAGCCACGGCTGAGCCAACCCAAAGCCAGGAGCCTGGAGTTTCTTCTGGGTGCAGCAATGTTGGTACAGGTGCCCAAGGACATGGGCCATCTTTCACTTCTTTCCCAGGCACATAGGAGGGAGCTGGACTGGAAGTACAGCAACTGGGACTAGAGTTGGTACCCAAATGGGATGGCTGGCACAACAGGTGACAGCACCCAAAATCTGCTCTTTGACTGAGGGTAAAAAGTGGGAATTTGTGATTTATAGTGGCAGAGAGAGGGAAACTATTTTATTGCTTTAACATTTTATTTTTATTGGAAAGACAGATCTACAGAGAGAATAAAAACAAAGATCTTTGGAGCACTGGTTTACTCCCCAAAGCGCTGCGATGGCTAGAGCTGAGCTGATCCGAAGCCAGATGTTCCCAAGTCTCCAATATGGGTGCAGAATCCCAAGGCTTTGGGCCACTCTCTACTGCTTCCCCAGGCCAAAGCAAGGAGCTGGATGGGAAGTGGAGCAGCCAGGACCTGAACTGAAGTATATGGGATCCTGGGCAAATAAGGGGAGGGTTTAGCCATGAGGATATCATCATGATGAGCCTAGAGAAAAAAGTGTTTTGAAGGCACAGGCACAGCAGTTAAGCAACTGCTAGGAAAGTTGACATTCTATGAGAGTGGCTAAGCTCAAGTCCTGGTTCTGCTCTCTTTTCCAGCTTTTGCTGATGCACAGCCTGGAAGGGGGTGGATACCCTCCTGTGTGAGACTCAGAATGAGTTCTTGCTTCCCTGGCCTTGACTTGGCTCAGACTTGCTGCTGAGGACAGCTAAGAGTGAGTCAGTAGGTGGGATCTCTCTCCTGTATCTGCCTTTCAGATAAACATAAGAATAATTAAAAAAAAAAAAAAAAAAAACAACAACTGGCAGATGCAGTAAGAAACAGCATGGGTTAGCAATGTGGCACAGTTTTAGTAACTGCTGGCAATGCCAGCATCCCATAGGAGAGCCGATTTTGAGTCCCAGCTACCCTCCTTGTCATCCAGCTCTGCGTTGTTGTGCCTGAGAAAGCAGCCAAGGATGGCCCCTTACTTAGGTCCCTGGACTCACACGGGAGACCTTGAGAAACATGCTGACTCTTGGCTCTAGAAAGGCCAAGTTTGGATCATTGTGGTCATTTGGGGAGTGAACTAGCATAAGGAGGC